GTCCTACCGTGGTATGAAAGTAGGACATGAGTGCTCGACATCACTCCTTCAGATCCACGTCAGTGCCCAACTTACTCCACCTCTTTAAAACTGCCCTTTTCTTCTGATTGAAATTTATTAATTAAGAGTAGGGCGTGACTAATGAACTACGGCCTCATCCTCTCAGGGTTTGGAAAGATTACTGGTACCACCCCACTACGCCCCACATACCATATAAGTCCACAACTACAAATACAACTACAACATATTCATATTGATTGTATTGCCATTGCCTCTTCGAAGAGTCAACTTCACGAAAATGTCACGCTGCCAAGACTTTCACATATTTTAGTTTTAATTTTTCATCTTGTTCATTTTTTTCTTTTTATTTTATTTTATGAGGAGATATGTCAAATATATAGATACATTACGCTATTCGAGTTGTGAATTAAGACTTTTTATATAGTGAGATCACGTTAGATTGTAGAGTGATTTATGTTTCATGCGGTTTATTTTTTTCTAATAAAAGTCAAACCGAGATTATTATTTGGTTCTGCTTTCTTCAGTTTTTGTTTGGTTCAGTTTATTTTTTTTTATATTCAAATTTAGATTCTGTTCAATATTTTTTTAAACCTGAAAATTGACAATAGTTTTGGATTTGGCACTTAGCTGAATTGGATTTCTAAATCCAAATGGCAACCTTTTAGACCTGTACTTTTGTCTAATTCAATTTTTTTCATCAATCCCGAATGGTTTGTTAAACTTTCTGCAATTGGAAAATTCTAAGGAAAAACTTCTTACCAATATTCTTTTATTATAAACTTCCTTGCTTGTTGATAAATATAAAGGGATGAATTGTTGGATTTGTTGCTTATGCACATCAGTAGAAATAAAAAAGACAAATGTTTGGGTTTGTTAGCAGAAAGAAAAAAAGTAGCCATGGAAATGCTATTGGGAAGAGGGGGTGGGGCAAGGACGCCTCTTCTTTTTTTTTTTTTTTTTTTTTTAATCAATTACAAATGTTATTTTATAAAGGGAATATGTGTAAAGATAACTTAACATTTTGAATTGGGTTTGAGAGGGTAGTTTTGGTAATAAATTTGGGTTTAAAGAGAGATTAATTTTTTAATAAAAAATAATATGGGTGACGAGAGTAAGTTGGGTGTAAAAAAAAGTTACATGAGTTCAAATAAAATTTTCCTTTTTGTTTCTTTTCACAGAGAGATCAGAATTTTGTGTTTTTTTAATCTGCAGAATATAGATAGTGCTAGATAAGTGTTCACAAGGATTATTTCTGATTGATTTCATGAAGTCCAATAGCTGCAGGTTCCTAATGGAAAATCGAATCAGAAGGCTCCCGCAAAAATCCATTTCATCTTAAGCAAATGGAAATAAAAATCAATTACAAATCTTTAAGCTAATTACATATGTAAAAAGAACAAATCCACAGAACAACCTACCAGCAACCCTAATCCCTAATTTCCACTAAAACCCCAATTCAATTTGAATAAACCCTAATTTTATCCTAATTAAACTCATATATACCTTTCTTTCGAACATCAAGTAATGCTAAGAGATAGCGCGTCTAAGCGAGGATGAGAGAAGGGCAGAGACGCGAAGAGAGAGACGGCGTCACGGGCTGAGAGGACAGAGTATCATGGTATCGAGTTTGGAGTGGTGTATACCGTGTATTGGTTAGGGTCAAGGTTAACATGAAACCACGTCGTTTTAAGCGGGTTTAGATTCGATTTTCAATCCCCTAAAACCAAAATTGAACCAATAGAATTCGGTTTGATTCAGTTTGTTTCTTTCCGGTTTCAGTTTGGTGTTCGATTCAATTTATTTTTCTTTCGATTTTCTGTGTTTTAAACCCACCCTTATTAGACTGTAACATTTTAATTCGTAACCTACTATTATAACGTGTCAGATATCTAATGAGAGATAATGACATATATAGTTTACACATTCAATCCATATTTATAAAAAAGAAAACCAAATTTAGTTCTTTGCTCATACTCTTAATAAAATAGATTAGAAAGAATGCAAGTGTACAAGTTCATGTTTGGATGCGAATAATTAATTATACTACATCAACTTTCATGAACTCTAAAATATTTTAGTTGATGAAAAAGAAATGAATAAATTCTATTTAGGCGTGGTTAATCAATAGGTATTTTGAGTTTCTTGTTTCATTAAGTTTCTATGAAAATTACAGCAGGTGTGATTAACTAGCTTTCCTGTCAAGAAAACAAAACCCATTGGCTTATCGGCTATGTCCTTTGTAGTTTATGGTTTTGAGATTATACTTATCAACGTCAGAATTAGAGATTACGAGAGAAATTAGAATAAGTAATTAGAGGACGATGTAACAGCAGGCCGACGTTGCTGAAGTTTTTACGTTGTTATTTCTGTTTTCTTTTGGTTCGATCTGGACGTTTCGTTCCTTATGCGACCACAAATCTCCGTTTTTCAAGATTCTTTCCCTAGTATGTTTTCTAAGGAGTTATGATTAAGTTCTGCTTAGTTATCTGTTTAATCACTTGTCTAATGGTACGGTCAATACAAAAATGTCCAAAAGAGAGTGCCAAAATCTTGACTTTGCATTTGGGATTCATAGAACTAAACCATTAGAATGCTTCCTTAAATTATCCAAATTACGTACGTGATTATTCCTGGGTGTTGTTACTAGAAAGCCACCAAGTAAAAATACGATACGACTCCAGTTTTATTTTTATTTTAACTTTTTAATAAACTAGTTTCTAAGATTGTCATACCTTTTTAATTTTTTTTTTTTTTTTTTAAGATTTAAAATCGATAGGAGTGGTTTCTAATATTGTCCATCATCAATCATTTTGATCATTTTGTAAAACATCTCAGTTAAATTGAAAAAACCACCAGTTCAAGTGAAGGGGTTGCTTTGACAAAAAACCCCTCAATTTAACGGAAATTTTCATGAAATAACCAAAATGATTGACTGTAGACAATTTCAGGGCCCACATCTTTCGATTTTAAATCTTATAGACCATAAATAAGGAGTTATGTTAATCTCATGATCATTTTGGATAAAAAAAACCTTTGATTTTTTCTGATTTTTTGTGTGCAAAAACGAGGGCAACTTGTATAAACCTATTCAAATCGTCTTGGTCAATCAATGCAGTGTAAATTAAAATTTAAACATGGTATTATATTATTAGACAAAAACTTTACGCATCCGTTCTGTTTTTTTTATATAAGTAAGTTTTTAATTCACGAGTAAAAATAAATGTGAAATTGTTGTGCGTGCACGGTGAAAGTGCGAAAACATGGGCATTGACTTGACTTGAGAATAGCAGCAGTGTCATTATGGATATGGCTGTGCACGGAGGAATGGGGATCGTGTCTCCGATTTTTGCCGTGGCAATTTAGTTTTGTTGCAGTTTTACGGCGCCGTTGCTGTTTCCGTAGGTTGTCGGGGGACTGTTGGGGCTAGCTTGTGATTGAAGTCTTCAATTTACAACTTGACCCAAGAAAACTTATTTGAGAAGAGGGGAATAACTTTGTATGTACAGATAAACGCTCATAATCATTAAAAGTACGATATTTATCTTCTCGATCATTGAGGTTAACAGAGACCATAAATGTGTAAGTTGTAACCTAATTATTGAGTTTTGTACTTCAATTAAAACGGAAGATTTCATTTTTTTGGGCATTAAAATGTATTGAGATCTCAATCTCGTAACATTAATATCATGTATTTTTTTTTTTTTGTTAATGCATTGAAATGTTTAAGATGCTATTAGCTTAGGTTGAACTTGGAAGATCTTTGTGTACACGAATTCGGCTTGAAGTCTTTCTCTAGCTTCATCATATAATGGTACTACAGTTTTGGATATAGAAATTGGCATCACCTAATTCTTCGTTTAGTAAAGTAGAACTTGTATTATGCTAGTATGGACTAGTAAAAGTAAAAAGATACGTTGTAAGCACTAGCTAGTTTAATACGTTGTTAACTACTTGCTTATAGGTGCATTCTATAATTTCATTCTATTATCAGATTTGTTAGTTTTCATTCAAATATCATATTTTTTGAAACTCAACCAAATCCAACATAATTATCATATAATCCAGAAATCTTAAAATGATAAAAATACGCTTGAAAATTGCATGTGAAATATGTATACTAAAATTCCTAGAAGTGTGAATTTGGCTTTTCTTTTCTACTGCATCGCTTTTGGGTAATCGGATCAATACCATTTGCCAAAAAAACCACCATAAGATGTATAAACAAGCAAAATTTTGCACCATGTCAGCAACAATGTGCAAAATTTCAAGAATCCAGATTAGATGATTAGATGGCTTTAATGGATCTTCCAAACAAAAGAAGAGTAACTGAACCTGTGCTAGTGCTGATTCATTCGTTTGACCTTCATTTGGCTGATTTTGCCACCTGAGTTTGTTGAAACGACCACGTTTATCTCCCCACTCTCTCACCCAACGCGTCCCCGTAACGCTCCCAGAAACAAAGGGGCGCGGTTGTGTCGGGGTGAAAGAGCAAATCCCACGCGCGAGTTCAGTGTTTTTAACCGTGGGTGAAATTTGGAAAGACAGAAGATTAACCCAAGATTAGGTGTTTTTACCGGTAACAGAAGTAACTGCCTCCGTAACGACTCGGAAGATAAATATGTATTTGTAGGAGTGAAATAAAATTACAGCCAACAAACAGTTAAAATAGAGATAAGAGGGAAGAAGGGTCTCTCTCACCTCCTTCACCCTTCTCTCTCTATCTCTCTCCTCTAATTGGGTTCGGGTCGGGTTTAAATACTTGAATTTGTCGGGTTTTAGTAGAGGAGAGGGAGTGAAAAGCCAAAACGAACCGACGAGGGACAGACGAACGGATCTGGGTCAACTCCGTTTGACCGTAAATACGATAAACTCCAGGGGCGAGAAGTTGTAAAAAGGTCGTTATGTTTATTAAATGTGTAATTTAGGAGTCGCTTGAAAATATATATACTTATTTGTTGGAGAGCATTCGGCTGTGTGTTTCTTTCTCCTCGCCTTTCCCTCTCTTTGTATATAAGACCCTCACTCGGCTTTTTATTCATTTCTAAGAGAAAATATGAGGACCAGGGGCGGCGTTTGTTATCCGAGAGTTGGAGGCAGCGGCGGCGGAGATGTGTGTTGTCAGAGGAAGAGGAAGAAGGAATTCCCCGGAGGAGAGCGGACGGTCTGCCGGAAAAGGAATAGATTCTCGCCGGAGACGACGACGAGCTCGTCGGCTCCCGATTCGTTCGATGCTTTGCCTGACGACCTCCTCATTCTTATCCTCTCGAAACTCAGCGCCACCGCTAACACGCCCGCCGATTTCATCAACGTCTTGATAACGTACGGTCTACTTTGTATAAATTTTAATTCGATTAATTTGTATAAGCTTGGAGGTTAATATCGGTTAGTTAGAGAAACGTGGTGGGAGTGTGTTTTGAATTAACGGAACTGACGATTTGATTGGATGACAGATGCAAGCGGTTGAACGGCTTATCTCTCCATTCTCTAGTACTCTCCAGGGCTAATCCCAAGGCGTTTATCCTCAAGGCCAAGAACTGGTCCGAGTCGGCTCACCGATTCCTCAAGCTCTGCGCCGACGCCGGCAACACCGAGGCCTGCTACACTCTCGGCATGGTCAGTTCACTCCGTAACCCTCCAAATTCTCATTCAATTTCATTTAATTACTTGTTTAATCGCCTTTTATGAACATTTCGCGGCATTATTATTTATTAATTATTTTTGTTCATTTATCTCTGCAGATTCGCTTCTATTGTTTGCAAAACAGAGGAAGCGGAGCCTCGCTCATGGCCAAGGCGGCGATTGGCTCTCACGCGCCGGCCCTCTATTCGCTCGCCGTCATTCAATTCAACGGCAGCGGAGGCTCCAAAAACGACAAGGACCTCCGGGCCGGAGTGGCGCTATGCGCGCGTGCCGCGTTTCTCGGCCACATCGACGCGCTGCGAGAGCTCGGGCACTGTCTCCAGGACGGTTACGGAGTTCGTCAGAACATAACGGAAGGGCGACGGTTTCTCGTGCAGGCCAACGCACGTGAACTCGCGGCGGTTTTGTCCTCTGCGGCAGTTTCGGGAGTCCCCATGCGCCAGTTACTGACGTGGACTCCACTCCCTCATCCGCACCCTCATCCTCATCCGCAGCTGCGGCACCTGACCGGGTCGGGCTGCCCCTTGCTCAGTGACTTCGGGTGCAACGTTCCGGCCCCGGAGGTGCATCCGGCGAACGGGTTTTTGGGAGAGTGGTTCGCTGCTCGGAACGGTTCGCCCGGACCGGGTTTGAGGCTTTGCTCGCACGTGGGGTGCGGGAGGCCTGAGACTAGGAGGCACGAGTTTCGTCGGTGTTCGGTGTGTGGGGCCGTCAACTACTGCTCCCGCGCCTGCCAGGCACTTGATTGGAAGCTGCGCCACAAGGCGGAGTGTACCGCCGTTGAGCGGTGGGTTGATGAGGAAGGTGAGGGTGCTGACGGTGACGGAGCTGTCAATGGTGGCGATGACGTTATGGCTGAGAGTTAAAGATTAGAACGTGACGGTAACGGCAGGAAAATGTGAATTGAAGACGGGAACGGAAAGGGCAAAAAAGGGAAACGGGCCGTTTTTGTGGAAATATATATGTTAAGATAATCATGGCCGTTGGAAATTTTGTTCACCCTTTGTTACACAGAGGGGGATCTCTCGAAGGAAGTATTTTCTTTTCTGTTTTTTTTTTCCTTTTTGGTTCTTTTTTTGTACTATAGAGCAACTTTAGCCTTAATTTCGGTAAAGCAAATTTCCAAACTCATGAAAATTCAAATGTTCTTTCCTCTCTTATTCTTTTCTCCATACGTTTTTTCTTTTTTCGCTCTAAAATTCAAATGTTTCGGTTTCGGATGCAAGGTGGCGGCCACAATCGAGACCAACTGGGCCACAATCGAAACCAACTGACCTAAATTACGTATGCTCCAGACGTTATTCTTATTGTTCTTTTTTCTAAATAACAATACACAACTGTCTTTTAGGTAGGTGTTGGATTGGCCACTCTGTATATTTTACGAAAGAAAAATAATTTATACTAAATTTATCTAGATTAGGGAAATGTACATTCAAATTTGGATGCATATTTTCAAGTCAACTTGACTAAACTCTTATCAACGAAATCGAACTTGTCATGCCAAATAATACCATTTGATAGTTTTATGGGCTGAGAAAATGGCTTGACTTTAGGGTAAAGTTAAGATGTTCCTTATCTTGGATGTGTAATAAAGGAAATTAGATTCGAAATTCGAATTTACAGCTCAGAAGGGTAGAAATACTTTTTATGCAAATATGAGTGCATGCAGAAGAAAGAAAGAGCACAAGCAATGAAGCGATGAGCAAGTTGTGAGGCAGACACCAAAAGGATGTGTTAATTATCGCACTTGCTTTTAGGTGGTCAAAAGGGATCAGAACACGCATTTAGTTATTGACCAAGAACAATAAGAACCAAGAGTTAAAAACTAAGAAAATAAATTCATAAAAGCTATTAGAATTAAAAAAAAAAATCATTAGAATTACGATGTTGTGATATTTCTCTGTATTTATAAGAGGAGATGTTTTATGTTTGATATTCTGAATTAACTTAAATTATTTTACTTAGGCGATCTTAAGCCAACAAAGCTCCCTACTTTGCGAAGGTCGGTGGGAAACTCGAACCCGTGACCTTCGTCACAAAACAACAATATTTTCGTTGCGTCAAAGCTCACCCCAAATTATTTTACCATATAGTGGAAATATCGTTATACAAAAAACTTAATTAAAAAAAAAAAAAAACTAAAAGGGGAATTGAAAGTAGTGGGAGTGGGCAAAAAAGATGTGCAATTTGCAAGTGGTGGGCATTGTTGTTTTAGGGATTAGTCGTTTATGTTCACAAAACCAAATCAAGTGGAGAAAAAAAGAAAAGAAAATCAAAACAGCATCTCTCCTGGTGGGAGAGCACTTTTATTTATTTTATATATATACATATATATTGCCTATTTTCTTTTAGGCTAGAAATTAAAATGATTGTTGGTGATTGCATGCCCAAAAACAACATATGATGTTGAGCTATGGTGGTCCAGGCCCAGAACATTAAAACACATTAATTGAGATCTGATGGGCGTGAAATTATTGCTCTCCATTTACTCTTTACAAAACCCAACTCCAGGCCCATTCTAACCACAGTAGAAAATTCTAACGGCCTCAAGCCTGTAGTTGTAGAACCGTGAGACATGAGGAAGAAGATGAATTGTTCTCGTGAAGAAGTTAAGTTGAAAGACGTCGTGTCTAATTTTCTCCTAACGTTTTGTTTGTTTAGTCGTTGTGGTTTAGTGAAACTCAAGAATGAGGTTCTAAAACAACCTAATCAAGTACTCCTTGCAGCCCTATTCTTTGCCCTCCTTTTTTCTGTCTACAATTCAAATCAGATTTCTTTGTATTTTGTTCCTATAATTTCAAAATTTTTACTGGTTACCTCCCACTTAGTTGTGTTATACACTTCTTTTGATTCTCTCTATTAAATTTAATGGTTCTTACAGTTTTGTGAAAGATTTATTCAATACGTCATGTTATGAGTTCAAAATTTCCTCAATACGTATATAAAAGACCCTCTTTTAGAAAGAATTCCGACTCCATCTATAAGTAACGAGTTTGATACCTAAGGATCATGGTACTTGAGGTACAAGTAATTTACAAAACACGTTGAAAACCAGAGGGCATAGAGATGACCCAGTTTGTTGCTTTCCTAAGTGTGAGCAAAACCCACGGAATTCATGGTTTCCATCTCTGAATTTTGGTCTACAAAACCAAGTACAAAATGATGATGACGACGACAAATCACTGCACAAAACCAGACCGTAAATCTGAATATTTTGCATCTTTATTTGGAAAATCCACATAAATACAAACAAATTAAGAAAAAAGACAAAGGTTTAGCAACTTAACTTCTATCTCTATGTACATGTCAGATTGTGAAAATACTTTTGTGTCAAATGGATCATGCGTAAAACGTCACCATGTTTGTTGTTTGCATTTTTGCTTTCTCTTCTGTGTTTTTTTATTTATTTATTTTTATTAATTAATTAATATTTTGGTTGGAGTTAAATCTGTATTTGCATTTTTTAGTAATATGAAACAAAGTTTAGTGATGCTAGTGGGATTTTTTTTTAAATACTGGGAACATGGTTCGATGCGCCTAAATGTTATAATATAAGTGGTTGAATATTAAAAAAAAAATAATATTTAACTACTTGTATTATGACACTTAATGTACCAACCGTGTTTTCGGTACATTGAAAATTTTCTCCATGCAGGGGCCTAAAGTTTCTTCAAAAGATGGTGCACATTCATTGCCCTTCTGCCTACTCCAACTCCTTTTGAGTTTTGACTGCCTAAACAAGGAAACCGCAGAAGAAGATTAAGTGCTTTTGTATTGTATAGAAGTAGGCAGCTAGCAGATAACTTCTGGGTATACACTAGAGAAGCTTAGCTCAAATTCTTCTAGTGCTTAGTTGAATTGGGAATGGCCAGCTGTATTTCACAACCCAACAGACCCTACATTCTAATACTTTTCAAAATACAACAAAATAAAGTTGTTTGTGTGGTAAGCATCAAAACTTCAACTTTGGTTATGTTTTGATTGAACGAAAGACCTATCAATCATTGAATATATGGAAAAATCCCCTGGCAATCACTCAATATATGAAGAAAAAAACTACCTTACTGATGGAGTTTGGAGTTCAGTTGACGAAGAACGTTCATCTTACACTAAGAAATCCTGAATTTGATTTCTCCTCTTTCAATGTTGTATGTATTAAAAAAAAAAAAAAAAAATCATATTACACAACATATGTGTTATCCTATTAGTCTACTAGTGTTTGATTGATAGCTTCAGTGGTAGACCACTTTACCATTGATGGAATGAATACGACAATCATTCTCCCTCCTTTGTACTTGTAAAAAAGTAGTTTGAGATCAACGCTTTTATTAAACAATTGAAATGGGCTTGTGAAATTATGACTGTCTTTTGTTTTGTCCCCTCTGACTGTGAATTCGATTTTGACACATGTAACGTTTTTTAAAATGTGTTGAAGAGTGCAGTTTCGCTCATCATCCTTAAGTTGTAGTAATACTTATCACTCCATCAATTACTATTAGAAGCAGTTAAGTCTCAAAGTTTGTGTAGCACATAGATTAAAACAAACTCATTCAACAATAATCAATAAAGTGGCGAGCAATAATATTTCTTATGTTGATTTGCCACTTTGAGCAAATTAGTATGTTGATTCATCACTCAAAAAAATCATGAATTCGAAATTTGGGATAAGCACTTGAAATGGGTCCATACGCTTGTTTAAAGTGTTTGGCCCAATTGAAGTTGTAGGCTTCAAATCTTGTACAAGTCCAAAATCATCATAATTGGGCCTTAATTAGATAATAAATAGAAGTTGATAAGGCTTGGTCCAAACAAAATACTTTTAATCCGCTGCTTTGCCAGTTCGACCCCAAAAATCGTTTGCCATACACTCTGAGCTGAGCGGGAAAGCTCGAATCAACGAACAGGTAAGCTTCCCAATCGATTCTCCTCTTCAAATCTGTTGATATATTTGTTTAATTTTCTATATGATTCGGATTAATCGTTTGCCATTACTTTAAACATAATTACTTGAGCCTGAAGGATTACATTTTGAACACGCAGGAGTCTTATGAATGTGCCTGTAGACGAAGGTCTGCTCCTATCGATGCTTCTGAAGGTGATGAATGCGAAGAAGACGTTGGAGCTCGGTGTCTTCACTGGTTATTCTCTTCTCACTATTGCTCTTGCACTGCTCGCTGATAGCAAAGTATGTAATACTCGTTTATTAATATTATTCATGTGTTTTTTTTTTTTTTAATTTTCTTTGAAATAGTTAGATTTTCATCCTTTTACGTGTAGTAGCTAGCTAGATTAATATTTCAAATTTCAGATAACAGAAATTAATGTAGATAAAGAAGCCTATGAGGTTGGACTGCCATTTATTCAGAAGGCTGGGGTGGAACATAAGATTAACTTCTGCCAGTCAAATGCCTTCACGGTCCTAGATGATCTCACTACCAAAGTAAGTTAATGTTGGTGATTTAAGTTGGAGAAAGTAGGTTAGGCCATTATAATTTATAACACGGGGTGGCCTGTGTGCATTGGAAATTGTACTTGTGCCGTTGTGCTTGGAAGGAACCCATATACAGTGGAGCTCTTTCCTTCGGTAGAGTGCATGACTGTTAAGCTGGTCAAGCTGGCCCACCTAAGTTTGTCTCTAGATTTCGAGTAACAAATTGGTAAATATGAATAGTATTTGTCTTTAAAACAAAGAGAAGGCTACACAGTTATGGAGAATGTTATCTGCACATTCAAATTAGCATGATAATCCTCTTCTATGAGTGTTTAATAATATAATGTTGATCCTGAGTAAATAATAAATAATGGTGAATTTGGGATGTAATATATCATCACGATACTTAGCTTAAGTAATAAGTAGTAGTAGTTAATACTATATTATTTGATTTGGAGAATTAAACGTGCAATCAATTAAGCAGGGGGAGGAAGAAGGGAGCTTCGATTTTGCATTTGTAAATGCCGGCAAGAACTTACATGGAGTGTCACAAGCAGCTGATGAAGCTTGTGAAGGTTGGAGGAGTCAAAGCTTATGATAACACATTGTGGTTTGGTACAGGGGCGGAGCCTAAGGAGAATGTGCAAGAATTTGCAGGAAAGGCAGAAAACAGTTGCTGGAACTCAACAGCTTTCTCGCTGCGGATGACCGCGTTGAGCTAGCTGTTGTTTCCACCGGAGATGGACTCACCCTCTGCAGGCGTCTTTGTTAGCTTACTGAGCAAGAAACAACTCTCATTTTGAAGTTGTCTAATAAATAATTAAAATAGTTTTATCTGTGGTAATTAAAATGGTTATGAACATTATCTTGGTTGCCTTCTTAATGAACTTCATTTAATCTTGGGAGATTTTCTATTCCAAATTTAAAACATAAAATTAATGTGGGTTTTATTTTATTTTGATTTTAAGAAAGTTTTTGTTTTTATTTTTTTGGAAACAAGGAATTCTGTATTAATTAAATTTGGGAAATGCTTGTAATTTGCTACCGGCCACCTATTGGGGATGCGCCCGACTAACCTAATGGTTTATGGTGTACTTAATGTGACGTAGCATTTGAGCTTTGCTTCTGCCCTGTTTTTTAAATGATCATTTTCTCCTAGCATAGCCAAAATGAACATCATCTTGAAAAATACCTCCTTTGTTAAAATTAACAGAGACACCTGTTTTTGAATTTTCTTTGTAGCACGTGATCAATGAGACACTCAAATGAAATTATATTTCATCACTCAGTACTACGGTCTGGTAGTATTCCTCTTCACTTGCAAGTGAGAGGTTTTAAATTCGAATTTAGTGGGTGGCGAATTCGATACCAAATTAGGCCGCCCATTGTATGGCTTTGCTGAACTCCTCCTCACCTTAGTGTAAAAATATCAATGTACTAATATAAAAAAATTGATGTCATATTTCTAATAATACGGTAATATCTCTTCAGAATAAGTAAGAGTTATATAAAACATGTTTACTATTATCGTGGTGTCCTGAACCACTAATACAAAGTTATGTGTAAAACTCTTAACATGACCTTGTAAAAATAGCTTGTGACGTCACAATAGTTGTGGACATGTTTCATCTAAGTTCTTTCCTAGAATATATATCTTAAAGTGCTATTTTGTAGGGTAAAGTTAAGATGTTCCTTATCTTGGATGTGAAATAAAGGAAATTAGATTCGAAATTCGAATTTACAGCTCAGAAGTGTAGAAATACTTTTTATGCAAAATGAGTGCATGCAGAAGAAAGAAAGAGCACAAGCAATGAAACAACGAGCAAGTTGTGATGCAGACACCAAAAGGATGTGTTAATGATCACACTTGCTTTTAGGTGTCAAATTTTTTTTTTTGGGGGGGGGGGGGCGGGGAGGGGGATTCTCTACCCTTCCATACCCTCGTATTTGAATAGTGTCAATATCTTATATTGATTTTTTTATAGAGATAATAAGACAAAAAACAATATGTGAGAGGAAGGGATGGAAGAGGATGAAATAGGAGGATAGAGAATCCTCCTCCGATCAAAAGGGGTCAGAACACACATTTAAATTTGAACGTAGCACTTTGGGATCTTTTACACTTTTGATCTCCAACCGATATATCAAATTTTAAACATAAAATAATAATTCATATGTATTTTTTTTGCATTGGGAATGAAAAAAAACAAAAGGATAATGATTTAAACCATTAAAAAAATAATAAAAAGCATTTAATAATTAAATAAAAAAATCTGAAGGTGGTGTCAAATTTGGCAGGGGAGAGATGTCAATTCATGTCATGCCACATCAGATTTGGCTTCTCGGTTGAAAAACATTAATGCAGTCTTTTGTTACCGTTATTGCTGATTTGGACATTTTGACATCTCCTTTGGAGATGCTCTAAGAAAATAAATTCACAAAAGCTATTAGATTAAAAAAAAAAAATCAATAGAATTATAATATTGTGATATTTCTCTGTATTTACAAGGAAAGAGGTTTTAGGTTTGATATTTTGAATTAACTTAAATTTTGGTCTACAAAACAAGTACAAAATGATGACGACGACGACGAATCACTGCACAAAATCAGATCTTAAATTTGAATATTTTGCATCCTAATTTGGAAAATCCAAATAAATGCAAATAAATTAAGAAAAAAGACAAAGGTTTTGCAACTTAACTTCTATCTCTATGTAAATGTCAGATTGTGAAAATACTTTTGTCACAAATGGATCATGCATAAAACGTCACCATGTTTATTGTTTGCATTTTTGTTTTCTCTTCTGTTTTTTTATATTAATTAATTAATATTTTGGTTGGAGTTAAATCTGTCTTTGTTTTTTTTTAGTAATATGAAACAAAGTTTAGTGATGCAGTGGGAGATTTTTCAACATACGGGGAACATAGTTCGGTACATCAAGTGTTTAGGGGGGGAGGGAGATTCTCTACCCTTCTATACCCTCGTATTTGAACGGTGTCAATATCTTATATTGATGTTTTTTATAGAGATAATAAGACAAAAAACAATATGTGAGAGGAAGGGATGGATGGGGATGAAATAGGAGGATAGAGAATCCTCCTCCGGTCAAAAGGGGTCAGAAAACACATTTAAATTTGAACGTAGCACTTTGGGATCTTTTAAACTTTTGATCTCCAACCGATATATCAAATTTTAAACATAAAATAAAAATTCATATGTATTTTTTTTGCATTGGGAATGAAAAGAAACAAAAGGATAATGATTTAAACCATTAAAAAAATAATAAAAAGCATTTAATAATTAATTAAAAAATCTGAAGGTGGTGTCAAATTTGGCAGGGGGAGAGATGTCAATTCATATCATGCCACATCATATTTGGCTTCTCGGTTGAAAAATATTAATGCAATCTTTTGTTACCGTTATTGCTGATTTGGATATTTTGACATCTCCTTTGGAGATGCTCTAAGAAAATAAATTCACAAAAGCTATTAGATTAAAATAAAAAAAAATCAATAGAATTATAATATTGTGATATTTCTCTGTATTTACAAGGAAAGAGGTTTTAGGTTTGATATTTTGAATTAACTTAAATTTTGGTCTACAAAACAAGTACAAAATGATGACGACGACGACGAATCACTGCACAAAATCAGATCTTAAATTTGAATATTTTGCATCCTAATTTGGAAAATCCAAATAAATGCAAATAAATTAAGAAAAAAGACAAAGGTTTTGCAACTTAACTTCTATCTCTATGTAAATGTCAGATTGTGAAAATACTTTTGTCTCAAATGGATCATGCATAAAACGTCACCATGTTTATTGTTTGCATTTTTGTTTTCTCTTCTGTTTTTTTTATATTAATTAATTAATATTTTGGTTGGAGTTAAATCTGTCTTTGTTTTTTTTTAGTAATATGAAACAAAGTTTAATGATGCAGTGGGAGATTTTTCAACATACGGGGAACATAGTTCGGTACATCAAGTGTTATAATACAAATTATTGAATGCTTTAAAAAAAAAAAATTTTAACTACTTGTACTATGATACTTAGACCTGGTTTGGTACTGAGGTGATTCTGAAAAAAGCTGCTATCAAAAAAAGCTGGGAGCTGTTTTTGTGTTTGGTAAACACTCAGCTTCAGCTTTTTTTCACAGTTTTGGATGAAAAAAAGCCAAAAACAAGAAGCTGCAAAACCTAGCTTTGAAAAACCGGCTTTTTTTCACATCTGTTTTACATAAAAGTTTACCAAACACTCTAATACTGCTTTTTTTTTTTTTTTCAAAGCACTTTTACAAAAAAGTTTACCAAACACTCTGCTGCTTTATTTCACAGCTGCTTATTCTCACAGCACAGCAGAAGCAACTTTTTTTCAAAGCACAGCAATACCAAACCAGCCCTTAATGTACCAGTTATGTTTTCGCACATTCAAAATTTTCTCCATGCAGGGGGCTAAAGTTTCTTCAAAAGACAGTGCGCATTCAATGCCTTGCTACTCCAACTCATTCTTTTGAGTTTTGACTGCCCAAACAAGCAAACCGCAGAAGCAGTTTTTGAAGGCTGTGTTGTTGGCTAAATAAGTGCTTTTGTATTGTATAGCAGTAGGCAGCTATCAGATAATTTCTGGGTATACACTTGAGAAGCTCAGCAAAAATTCTTCTAGTGCTTAGTTGAATTGGGAATGGCCAGCTGTATTTCACAACCCAACAAATACTACATTCTAACTACTTTTCAAAATACAACAAAATAAAGTTGTTTGTGTGGTAAGCACCAAAACTTCAACTTTGGTTATGTTTTGATTGAATGAAAGACCTATCAATCACTGAATATGTGGAAAAAGGATATGTCAATTACTCAATATGTGGAAAAACTAACTCACTAATAGAGTTTGGAGTTCAATTGATAAAGAGCGTTCCTCTTACACTAAGAAATCCTAAATTCGATTTCTCCTCTTTCAACGTTGTGTGTATTAAAAAAAAAATCATATTACACAACATATGTGATATCCTATTAGTCTTACGAGTGTTTGATTGATAGCTTTAGTGGTAGACCACTTTACCACTGATAGAAAGAATACGACTATCATTCTCCCTCCTTTGTACTTGTAAAAAAGTAGTTTGAGATCAATACTTTCAATAAACACTTGAAATGGGTTTGTGAAATTATGACTGTCTTTCGTTTTGTCCCCTCTGACTGTGAATTCGATTTTGACACATATTGTTTTAAGATGTGTTGATGAGTGCATTTTTGCTCATCATTCTTAAGTGGTGATAATGCTCACCACTCTATCAATTACCGTTAGAAGCAGTTAAGTCTCAAAATTTGTGTAGCAGATAGATTAAAACAAACTCATTCAACAATAATCAATAAAGTGGCGAGCAATAATATTTCTTATGTTGATTTGCCACTTTGAGCAAATTAGTACGTTGATTGATCACTCAAAAAAATCATGAATTCGAAATTTGGGATAAGCACTTGAAATGGGTCCATACGCTTGTTTAAAGTGTTTGGCCCAATTGAAGCCAAGTCCAAAATCATCAAAATTGGGCCTTAATTAGATAATAAATAGAAGTTGATAAGGCCTGATCCAAACAAAATACTTTTAATCCGCTGCTTTGCCAGTTCGACCCCAAAAGTCGTTTGCCACACACCGTGAGCTGAGCAGGAAAGCTCGAATCAACGAACAGGTAAGCTTCCCAATCGATTCTCCTCTTCAAATTTGTTGATATTTTTGTTTAATTTTCTATATGATTCAGACTAATCGCTGCTTAGGTCGTTTAATGAATCAATTTCTTCCCACATCTAAAATTCCCATTCCGCGACTATCCGATCAGTTTGGTTGCCGAGAAAATGCTAGAAAGGAAACGAAAATCTTAAAATTCTCAGTGTATCTGAACGTAAATTTCCCCTATTGAATGCCAATCGAATAATATATAGTAGCTGAATCGTGTTTTGTATGAATATTTTGGATTTGTATAAGCTAGGGTTTGTGGAACTCTAAACAGAGATGAGATTTTTAGGTTAACGTTGTTCAAGGACTGAGAGATGGCGTTTATAATGGAGTTTGCTGAGAATTTGGTATTGAGGCTAATGGAGGACCCTAAGGAGAGGGATAGGAAGTTCAGGGAGCACGTGTATGCGGTGAAGGACCGGTGCCAAAAGACCAAGGACATGTGGGCGCTACCCCTCCGTCCCTACGGATTTTGGACCTTTGAGCGCCACAATTCACAGCTCCGTTGGGATGCTCAGATTAGCCAGGTTGAAGGCCGGAGGGATCCCTATGATGATCTCCTCGAACACAGCAATGATCTCGTCACCCCCAAAACTAAATGAGTGCATAAGGTATGCTTTTTCAGTTTTAAAGGCATTCTGTGTTTCTATTGCATTGTTTGGAATGTGTGGATGTTCTGCATTTGCTTTCAGTGGCCTCCAAGAGAATGGAAGCCAAATACGTCTTCATGCTAATTGCTCCAACGCATGCACCCAGGAGAGTGTGTATTGGCTTTAGCAGTAGCTTTGTGCTATATGTGTGGGTCATTGCTACAAGTTTCATGTTAATTAGTCTAAATATTTCCGGTGAGAATCTTTCAATAAACTCATTGTTTGTATTGGCATGGGACATTGCTGGTCTTGCATGTCTTTTGATTTCTATGACCCTTCTCTTTTAGGTAAGCCCTAGTTCTGTTGGATTGAATCTTTTCATAGGTTAGGCACCAACATTTCATCTGTTTATGCAAATTCATGGTTTTATCTTTACGCTTATCTGCTTGTCACTTTTTGGTACGTGAGAGAAACAGTCAGTAAGTATTTTGTATTTGAACTATCCACTACGTACATTTTATAGACGAGAGCAAAGGATTACATCCGCCTTAGATTTTGGCGAAGGGCATCATCGAAGTTCAAATATGTCCTTTCGAGTTGAAACTAGAAGTGCTATCTTTTACGTTGGATTCTATTGCGGGATAAGCTCACCGTAATTGTGTTTTTTGGGCTTCCGCAACCTTTAAGAATAGTGCTTAAGATCTCGGGTTGACGAGTTGAATGATATTTGATGCTCTCTTTCCTTGTTGCAGGTCAAGCCATCTGCATAATTCAAGTTGAGGCTTCTGTTGCAGTTGGGAATTTGGTGGTCGTAAAACGTTGTTCGGTTTTAATGTTTATTCAAGATTGGTCTCTGTTTGAATAAGAGTCCCATGTATCTTCGGTGTTGCGGAACAAAACATTTAATGTGTTAGTTCTACAAGTTTTCTATTATCGTACAATCTTTGGTTTCCATTTGCTTTAGTTTGGGATTATGCAGACAACACGAAATAAAAGTTCGAATTAGTTTTTTTGTTGAGTTTTGATACCTTAATCTCTGTAAACTAAAAACGTTACTTTCATAAAGAAAGTGCTATTCACACTTATTTTTATCTTTCACACATCATCGTTAATTTTTTGTTGTTAATTTTCAATTTATTTGATTCGATGATCGAAAATTAAAAAGATTGAGACATAAAAATGAGTGTGAATACAGCTAACTCCTTTTGTAATTAAATAGTTTGGACTTGAATCCGGTGTAAGACTCTTTTTCCATTATGATCCCCTTCCCTCCCTTCCTCTCACACTTTTCTTTTTATCTTTTTCTCCATATAAAATTTTCAAAACAAGACAGTTGACGCAGCTTAATTATAACCGTTTAAATAAAAGGAAAGATAACAGGAGAGGAAATAGAAAGAGAGAATCCTACTCCCTTGTATCCATGGGAGTAGGAACTTAAACGAAAACGGTAGCAATGCATGCTGTCGAAATAGTAATCCAACAGGACTTGCTCGCCCCTTACATATTTGTGAAGATGTAAGAAGCAAAGCAACATCGCCGAATAAACTTCGAGTTCCGAGTTCCGACAGATAGTAACCCATCCAACGGAGGCCTCAATATCCATCAGAACCAGACATTTCCTTTCAACCAGAATCGGCACCAAAATCAGTCGGTATCTAAACAATCGCACGCCAAGAGAAGGGTAAACGACCTTTAACAAACTGAGACACAAGTTGAAAGGGTCTAGAAGTAAATTTACAGAAGTCGCTAGCTAAGCTAAGTAGCTATCCACATATCTTCAGTTCATCCACAACCCGCCAACCCTAAACACAAAACTCAAAACAAATCTGATTCTTCCGATTCTTCAATCAGAATCGGAAGAATCAGATTCAGATTTGTGCTCGACGTGTGCAGCTGCATCTTCTTTCTTCTCCACCTCTCCCTTTTTAACGGCATTGGATATCTCATCGATCGGAACAAGGGGTAGATAGCGGAAGATGGCATAGCCTTTGCGGGTCATGTGCTTTACGGTGTGGTTGTATTTGTCAGACCAGCGAGCAGCGGTTGGTGCAGCCTTCTGTGCCACTGTGTGGATGGAAGGGTACTTGTTGAGTCCGACCCACAGCTTCACAGATTGGTTCAAGACAAAGTTCTTGTACTCAGTAGCTGCATAGTGAATAGCTGAGCGTGGACCGCCAGTATGAGCCTCCCTTACAAATTTCTGTCCCTTCTCCGCTGCTTTCTGGATCAAACAATGCGCTTGGCTCGCAACCTGCTTAGCCACAGGTGGAGCATGCTTATCGAACTTGTCTGTAGCTTCGTCTACCTGTTGAAAATGTGATTAGTTCTTCAAGAATGTTGTACTGTACAAATCTTTGCTCATACATGATACATATCAACATCTAATAAATCTCAATCAACGTTGATCATATATGTAAGCATGCACAGAGCATCATAAAACCGCAGAACATATAAACTAAAACTCACTAAATACGTAGCTCAAAAATCAAGTTAGCAAATACACAAAAGTAAACTAGTTGGATCAGAAGCATCAGTTATCCATGAAGATGTCGAAATCGCAGTTCACCGATGATCCTTCACTCTTATTACAATGGGACTTTTCGGCATCAGGATACAATCCCAGACACAAAATACAACAACTACACAAGTAAAAACCCCCCTTCACAATTCATAAGCAAACCAACCGATCAAGCACAACCTCATACAATTTCTACCATCTGTTCACAAAGGACACCAAAAAAAACCATAATTTAGCACTTCACTATTCCTTCGACAATCCGAACCAATCTTACATTTCGACCTTGTAATTTTGCATAATCTAATTAAACATGCATAACAACCACACATCTTTCTCATTTCAAAAATTAACAGTTTCAGTTTGTTTCTTTCTTTCGAGTCAGGAAAAGAAGAGAAGAGAATACCTTGGTGTCGAGAAAAGCGAGGACATCGTCAGGAACGCCCTTGAACTTCCGGTAAACAGGACCGACGACGGCGGTGACAGCGCCCTCCACAGTCCCGACAGTTGATCTGAGCGGCCCAGAGTTCTGCTTAGCGTAATCGTACAGACTCGAAACGAACACCAGCGTCTGAATCGCCGCCACCCTCAGAAACCGTAGATGCTTCAGTTCCTTCTCCTTGCTGTTGATCTCTACCCCATCCTGCACACACAAAAAATCAAGAAAATCAGATAGTTGGCAAAGATCTACGCAAACAAAACGCAAAAACAAATCCAAAATATATAGATAAAACGACAATTCAGATGATCGGAAATTCAATTACATCAACGGTTGCCATTGTTTGCAGATTGTTTTTCTGGTTTTTGAGGCTCCGGGAAGTCGCGACTGAAAGAGCAAATTGTGTTGGGAGGTCGGAAAATAGAGAAATGGTTTTATTTATAGCGGCAGGAGTTACGAGAGGAGTCTGGTGCGTTCGTACGATGGACGGTGGATGTCGGATCTGTTTTGTAGTGAGTGGGGCCCAAAGTAGGTCGACTAGGGTGCCAAAACAAGGAGAAGGAACGTTAAAGTCCTCAATTAAAATTTCATTCAACGGTTCATTTGTTTTAAACTTTTAAAAGTTATCATAATTTTAAATCGTTGGATAAAATTTTAAAGACCAAGATCATCTGATCTGATGGCCTCCGGATCTCTTCTCCTAAAAAGGGAGGTTTATGGAAGTTTCGGGAAACGAGCTTGACATAAGGAGTCTCGTGGCGGGTACCCGGTAGCTTTGCCTCCATCATGATCGAGTGTGAGGCTGAAATGTATTCTGTGGGCCTTGTCATTACATCGTACGTGGGTCCCACTAAGAAACCACTCGTTCTAAGTCTAAAACTAAACGGACGCATTTTAGGGGAGAGATCTAAGAAACGTTAAAGTCCTCAATTAATTTATTATACAGCGCAATGTAAAGAAGTTTCTTTTTATAATAAAATGATATTATTATTTCAACTTACACTTGAGTTAGAATTCGAGACATAATAAGTTAAAGAAGATTTTTTTTTTTTGAACAAACGAAATTATTTATACTAAAGAAGAGGGGGAGGGGAAAGACTTAATCTCACAATTGGTTAGTAATAATGTGATTCAAAGTAAGAATCGAACCTAAAACCTCACACTTACAAATGAAGATGAATATCACTAGATTATACTGCTAAGTGGCTATTTATTATTATAAATTTGATAGTTTTCTTAATACTAATTACATTGCTATTTATCATTATAAATTTGATATTTACCTTCATTTATAATTGATAAGTTTTAATTTAATTCTAGTAAATGGCGAGTTTGTGATTTTGACATAAAAGAATTGATGATTGAATTATTACTTAAAAAAAGTATTAATTAATATTTTATATTCTTATTAATGACATATTCTTTAATTTATAAATTTAATATTCCGTATCATTATCCTAAATACTAAATAGCAAAAGTGATTTTGACATGAACTTGCAAGTTGCAAGATAAGAAGTCATCTGTTGTTGTAATTATATACTTCTGTTGATAGTAATCCACTAAGTACGATTGATTTTGAATAATCTGTGGGCTGCCCCGTCACCAAAGCATTAATTCTTTTAAAACGTAATCGTCAAATCTGTTGGCTTATGTCATTGCTTTCAAAGGATGAGATAATCATAAAAATTGTCTTTCATGAAGAACTTTCTTCAAAACTTCTTTTTTATGTGTGTTTTAATAAGTGTGGTGTTGTTCACACATAATTTTTTACCTTTAACATATTTTTATTAATTTTTATTCATTAATTTTCTTCAATTCATTTGATTAGTCGGTCGAAAATTAAAAAACGTTTGAGAAGTAAATAGAGTGTGTATAGCACCACCCTTGAATAAAACATTTTTCCAAACTAGTTTAGAACTTACTATCTGTGCAGTCAAATGATCAACCACTAAACCTGTATTCAGCACCAAAACGCACGGCAGCATTGCGTGTGCTATTTACAATGGGCAAAACCATCCCCAGTTTACCACATTATACTCCTAAGTAATCACCGTAAAGACTTAGATAATAAATTTCCGCAAGTATAGGAAAATCGAGTCCGGCAGACGGACAGGAAATGCTGGAAATTTTCAGACGGCTTGAGACTTTTGGCGCTTCAAGTACTGAAGAATTGGCTCCTTCACCTATACAAAAGTTAAAAAGTCCCAAAGTGCAACATATTAAGGACCATAGCACTTTTTTACTAGCGTTTTGCTGGTCACAAAAACTACAGATTTCGAATCATACGCACCGTGCTTGTTTTCCTCGACCGCTTGTCTTGGCTTGACCTTCCACTGCAAATCACTCTGTCCCCATCGTCACAGTAATCAGTGTTGCCATTTGCTCTGCCGTTATCATTTCCCGGCACGAAGCTCTCCCTTGAAGTAACTGGCTGCAGAATATCCAAACAAAATTTAAACTTAGTGTAAACAGTTAAGTTGGAGGAAGAGAAAAAATGACATGAAGTGAAGGGGTGGAGGATCTAAATTAATCGATGCACCTGAGCCCTGCTTGTGGGAGTGTTTGGATGCTCCTTTGTCTTTGAAGTAGTCTGCTCACTCCTTATTGGACTGTAATGAGGTCCGTTCGATTTTATTCTCATTCGTGTGAGATCTGATCTGATGGAGTGGAGGACGCCGCATGTGGATGTGTCCCTGATGTTGCTTCCTGTTAACAAAAGCAGTTCTTAGGCCTTAAAAATGCTTATTAAGAAAGTAACTAGAGACTTGAATTCATTTTAATGTACTGAAAGCACTTGAGGCTTTTACCCCTTGTATGGAAATCCAGATGATTGGACTTGTTATTGTTATTTGGTTCAGTGTTGTCCACATCCTGTGCATTGTAAGAAATCCAAGCAAATATGTAATAGAAGAGAAAAAAACTATGGAAATACTAAATTGATAAAAGATACCATTGCATCATTGTTCAGAGCTTTCTTCACTTCAGCCAGCTTTTTCTCGGTGATCTCAGAACGGATAACACGCTTCCCTGGTTTAGAAAACAAATGAAAATGGTAAGTTAGATATAACTTGATCATGCATAAGTACCTAAATACAAGGATTTTAAACTGGATTAATCGCACACACCTAGCCTTCGGTTGTCTTTGGCTTCAAGAAAACCCTCTCGTGCCATTTTATCAATGAACTTGCGCACAGTAGTCTGATTCACCTCTCCACCGAGCTTGTTCTGAAGCTTTGTAGACTGCCACATACTGCATTGGAAGAGCATGATAAAGTAACCTGAGATAGACAATAGAGTCAGGTTAAATAAAATGTGACAACTGAAACAGTCTTATGAATTAGAAGTAAATTTTCAAAAGTACAGTACTTGGGGATATTAAGAGATTTGAGGACTCTACAGAGAATAGAAAGTTTCGAGACAGGAAACACAATCACCTTCATGTACATGAGATCGTTAACCATTAGAGTTTTGTCAGCAACTGGTACTTGACCATCCATTTCTTCTTTCACCACAGTGAACTCATAATCAGACTTCTGCATCGAGGAGAAAGAGTTTGACTCAAAAGCAATAAAATATGGCCTCAGAATTGAAACACAAAGGAGAAAACATAAAGCAAACCTTCGGCCTGTTGAAAGTGTAAGTGTCCCCTGCAGATTTCGATAGAAGACCTTCTATGACAAGCTTGTCCATAATCTCTGTGATCCAGCCAAATAGGGTTGGAAAGTAGCAAATCTTGTTACCAAGTCTCACAAAATAAGTTAAACAAAACCAGCAGCTCTAAGGGCATTCTTCAGTTTACCTTCAATCAAAACCTGCAGCATATAAAAAGGGAGAGATGGAGTAAAAAAGTACACTACAATATGCCAACAGAGCAAGGTTTCAACACAGTTTTTTCAGCAGTGACTTGAGAAGTTGAATTACTTACCACTGAGATGTCTGGGAAATTTGAGAGAACATCAGTAAGTTCAACAGTGTCAGGGTGGAGGCTACTGATCCAGTCTTTTATCCGAGCCAGTTGTTGTTCGTCTTGCACTGAATCCTGAGTATTATCTACACATCATAGAAAAAATCATTAGTTGAACTGTGCGGGAAAATCACAAAGGAAACTCGAAAATTAAAAGAAAAGGTAGTTTAGAACTAAAGCCAAGAAATAGCTGTCATTCAGCACGGTTTTTAAGTTCAAACTAGTTTGTATCACTCTCACTGTGGTATCGAAATTGGTCTGCTAACTTAGTAAAGTGTAATTGCTTTATTACCTTCATCAACCATGCTGTTATCTTCCTGCGGTGCGCTGTTATCTTTCTGTAGTTGTTGCTTATCTGTCAAGAAAACCATTGTTTCTTTAGCTAACAAGTAACAACGCAGGCCAACAGATAATCAGGTGGGAATTACAATACAAAGCCAAACCATACAACAGATTCAGAACCCTCACCTACTGGAGCAACTATATAACGATCATTTTGTGATTGGTTAAGCTGAAAGTAGTATCAAAACATATCATGTTTCATGTGTAAACTATTTTCTAAAGAAAATACTGACATTAATTAACACCATTAAGCTCATTGGAAGCTCTATATCCAAAGAAGATATAAAATATCACCTCACTGTCAGAATCAGATTCCGAATAATCATCCCCTTGCATAGAATCAGCTCCTAAGCTCACTTCATCATCTTGAATATCGTCATTTTCGTCCTCACAAGGATCAAGGATGCTCTTTACCTGTACACGTAATGAGAGAAACAAAGTTAAATCTGGAACGCAAATCATGAATTTGAATATCACACATTCAAAAAACATTCTCAATCCCCTACCTTCAGCGCTAATACAAGATGCTTGCTGTTTACATTCCCAACCTCCATTCTCAAAGGATTCTTGGCCCATGCATTACGAGCTTCTTCCTCAGAGCAGCTCCTGAAGAATGGAGGCTCATACTCCGCTGGCTGCAATGTGAAATAACTGTGTCATCTTGTGGCAAACAAAGCATATTTGACAAAACGAGAAAGAAAGTAATCAAACAACACATGAAACTGAACCACTAGAAAGCAATTAAAAATGGTGTACCGTCACATCATCATAATACAGGAGCTTCATCAGTATTGTTCGCTGAAACAGAGAGATTCAAACATCTTTAAGTACCATACCAACACAGAAAAACTCTTCCAGGACATTGTAGAATGCATTAAAATTTGCAGGTAGCTCATCAGAAACTAAGGCGAATTATAGGTTTACCTCTTCAGGCATTTTATCAAGAGTTCTCATCAATTGAACCAATGTGCGAACCATTTTGCAAGCAGAACTCCTGGAAATTAACATAGTTGCACCAATTCACAAATTTGCCAAACAGGATGGGAATACAATCTGGAACGAGTTTCGATCAAAGTTACCTCATCTGGTTGGGAGTAATTTCTGCTGTGGAGTTGCACTTGAATGTTCCACCCCCTTTCTTGTTCCCAGATCGACTTATATTCATTGAAACCTCCTGGCTTTCAGAATTTGAGTAACTAAAAGAAACTGAAGGTGAAGGTCAATAAGAACAAGTCAACTCTCTAAAACTGAGGAATTAGAACAAGTCAATTCTCCAAAACTGAGGCAAAATCAAAATTAGACTAAAAAATTCACACTCCAAAATCAACCAGCATTGAACCTAATCAAATTTAGAAAAGTGATTTAGATGACTAATTTCGTGAATGGCTTACAAGTGTATTCCTCAATCATTGGTCCTTCAACTGCTTCGCACACGCAGAATAAAAGTGTTTTCAGGTATTTCTTCTGCAATGCATCGTATACACCTGAAAATAACATAGAATTTTTAGCCAAACAAGGAATTGAAACCGAAACCTCATTCAAAAATTTCAAATTAATGATCGACGAGTACAACGATCTATACCTTTCTCCATCCAATCAATAAGCCTGCGAGACTCGGCATCCATTGGCATTAGTTTTTATATCTTCATCTCTGTCGAAGATTTCAAAATTTCAACAAAATCACAAACCGACTTTTGAACTAAACTACAAGAAATTGTGATCATTAAACAAATTTACCTAAAGCAGGAACAGACTTATCGTTGAAGTACTTCTCCGGAAAGAGGCCTCTGATGTAACTGATATTGAATATAGCAATACGAAGCAGGTTCCTCGTCTGATCTCAGGTCAAACGAAATTCAATGCTCAGAATCACTTCATACAAGTATCGAGAACTTCGTCGTCACAATCGTATAATAATTACGATCTATGAATTTAACGCGTTTCTTCAATCAAACTTAATCATGCTAAGACATAACACTACTAATATTCAAATACTAATCGTCAATTACTCGCCAAAAACTCGTATGATCTATATTTTGAAAATGCACAACTCTTCCATCATAAATATTTCAGAGTTTTGCAATATATCACATCAAATTTCACCGAGAGAGAAAGCCAAAGAGATTCAATCGAAGGTGAGAAAAAAATTTGAATGAAATGAAAACCGATCAGATTTAGTAAACGAAAAGTATCAACTCTGAAATTCAAAAGAATCACTAACAACTACTTCAAATTATCGCTGAGATTGTTGTTAATAGATGAGCGATCGTTGATTACCAGAAGAAGCGAGTCCTGCTCGGTGATCTCCGCTTCCTTCACCTTCTGTGCGACGACCTGAGGAAAACGAAGAAGTTGCAGTGAGATTCAGAGAGATTCAACAATCGGTACTAGCAGATTGACGAAGATCGTCGAGTATAAAGGAATTGCTCAGATAGCTGAGAAGCTCACCATTGTTGCAATTTTCTCAGAGAGAAAAATGACAGTCGGAATTTAGAGAGAGAGAGGTAGCGAATGAGAGCTCTGGGTTTTCTTATGAAGAGCTTGCTAGCTGGACGAAAATTTGAATTGTTACAAATGGCGGGAGGCGGTGAAATATGAAAGTTACTTGAGAGTTGAGACGGTTCACGAATTGCAGAGCATGCGGAACGCGTCGAGTTGAGATAGAGAGTCAGTTGCTGTACACGTGTCCCAAAACGGAAATCGAAAAGTTTGTTACGGTTTGTTACGGCCTCGGTTTTTTATTCCGGGAGCGGTGCACGGAGGCCGTGCCTGTATTAGTCGCTAATCACTTAGTGATTAATCAGTTGCAATTTGATAATCAGCGCGCCAACTCCAACGGTAACACCTGATTAGCTGGCAGTTAATTAGACATCAGTTCTCTATGCTCGTCTTGATTTAACTACTCCAAGAATTATGGGTAGGTTCGTGTGTGACCCAAGGCTGCCTAAATTACTCATGTATAAATCACTTTCGAGGTTGCTCGAAAACGCCTTCGTTTTCTTTTTGCTTCTTAACTACTTTTATGTGTGTGAAATTGTAAACAAGCGTGAACCGAAATTAAAACATTATCGTAACTACTTTTGAAGTTACCTTTAAATTAATTTTGTCGAACAACTTTCTAACCAAGCAACTTAGCATACTATAAAAATTTTGAAGGGGCAGAAGCTGTACCACATAATCAACCCCCAACAGGCATTTAATTTCCTTTTTTGTCAAATGAGAGAGTACGTAAATTCATAACTTCTTTCAACATTTTAACTCAGATGATAAAATCACAAAATTCTAAAAACCCAACTTTTTAGTGTCAAATTAAACTTATTATATGGTAATTACTATAGTTTTTTCTTCTTTTGCTATAACATTTCAAATAATGCAAATGAAGTTCTTCCTTCACTCATTGTAGATTTTTAGTAAATAGAGATCACTTTCTTTGTGGGCGTGAATCACACAATCGGAGGTCGGGTATGACCTTATGAGACGCAGGTGACCACATATCCTTGCTCCATCTGCGTCTCATCCAAGATCACCGCCTCCGATTGATCCACCTGATCCCCAAACCAACAACCCGGTAAAAGTAGATCAGGCACCGGACCGGCATAAGTAAGGCAACTTCAGACCTGCGCTTTCAGCTGACTCAATCATGTGAACATCATCTGGAGCTTCAAACTCATTCTCCTCACCATTTGATCCCAACAGTTTCACTTTGTATACCGCCATTGCAGATACACAGAAAGAAGAAGATTTCACCCCAAACGCTTTAAAAATTGTTCGTCACATAACCACGAGACGAACTGCGATTCTTAACAAAAGCTGAGCCTCTGCCTGATGATGCACTTGTTGTTGAGCATAATGTCAAAAGCCAGGCAGCTGATAAATTAACACTCGCCATCTGAACTCGGGTATTGCGTAGATTTTCGAAAATAATCAGGTTTAAATGTGTTATATACAGCAAAACTGAAGTGGCACTTCGTAAATAAAAATTTAACCATCAATAAAAAGAGCAAACAGTCTTCCACTTCCTAACACTTTATAAGACCATTAAATTGGTAGGAAACTTATTTGTAAGCAAATTTTCTATCAAGAATTTTATGCGTACGTATTGAGTCTTTGACCCATGTTACACCCCAATTGTATCCCCGTCTTTCTCAATGAAAGCACATAACTTCATAACAAACAGAACAGCGTTTGTGGTAGGAAAAAATCTAAACGTACAGGAAATACACCCGAAGAGATTTCAAACTGTGAAACTGGTTGTAGGCTCACCTTTCGAAGGGATCGCCTCTGTTTGAGCTTAAAGGATAAACAGCAGCAGCTATTTTCTCCCTAAGGTTGAATTTGCTTGCAATTAGTGGACGAACATCTTCTACTCCGACCAGGCTCTCCAAAAAAGGAAGTAAGGAGAGTAACTCTTTATCAGAACGATCATCAAACCAGCTCTCGATTGGTATTCCATTGTCTACTTGGAACCCGAATGCCTGAAACAAAGCCAACGCACTCAAAAATGTTATATCTAGAAAAAAAACAAAGTTAATAATATTGAAGAAGGGACAAACATAATCCTAGGGGTTTCCTCCTGAGATTGGCATAAATTAAAGTTGTATTCGTGTTTCATATTTCATATTTCACTCGATGTCCCTGACAAAGAGATCCAATAAAGTCTGCGATCCCATGTCGTAAATGTTCATTAAATGAAATTGGAGATATCCCGTTGACACTAATCCAAACATGCCTTGACCGAAAGCTTAGAAAGGACTGACTACATTTTGATTTCAGAGCAGGCAAGGGAACTGACTAATGATGTACATTACAAGCAACAACCGCAGAAAGATCGACCAGTAACTGGAAATATACAATGCTGATAAATTTCACCAAGACTAGAAGGAGCTTCTTTCAACTCACTTTTATTCATCACCATATTAGGCTTATCCAGAAACTCACTGATCCAAGAACAAACAAATACATTCCAAAACCTATGCCAAAATATTCTCCTAGAGACAATAAATTCAATAAATCACCTTCAAGGTCTTAGTGCACAGATAACTGCTAATGGCAGAGAAGGGAAGGTTGGAATAGCATACCTGTGGAGAGTTGTCAATTATGATAGTGTGTGCCAAATCACGACCAAGAACTGACAAATCTTTGAGGTAATTCCCCTCCACAAAAACACACGAATCCCGAAAAACACGATGGCGAAATATCTTCCTTTTTGGGTCCAGCACATTTAGAAGTTGCTCTGCATAAATACTTTGACTAGCTGTAAATATTATGATCTCAAAAAGACTGGACACTCTGTCCAAAAAATCTCTGAGATGAGGACGGCATCGGACATATACTGTGTGCTCTTGGAGGTTAAAATTAACAGGGAAAGTGAAGTCTGCATCATCACAAGGTTCTAGTGTGGAGTGTACCAAAGTTTCTGCCAGATCAAAGTCAGTCTTAGCATGCAAGTCCGACCCATAGTTCAAACAAATCATCAACAAACGAGGGATGATAAATCAAGGACTAAATGTTGCATCATATTAAACAATACAGTGAGATAAAAATGCATGCCTATGTCCTAGAAAAAGACACATTTGGCACTCCTTACAAAGAAAAACAAATGCAAAAATTTGGACTACAATTTAAAATCAGATCTTCCATCAGACTAGAACCAGCAATGAGAAAATGCTCATGCACGGGTCCCTGTCCTACCATACAGCTACAATTATCATGCAATAAACAATTGAAATGAAGATAAATGGCACATGACCTGAAACATTATCAACAAATGTTCTATTTGACTCTCATCATAAAGACGACAAAAGAAAAAATGCTAAAAGGAAGACACATCCAGATTATTTTGGCAGAAGAAAGCAGGCAAAGATCAAGCTCAATGCAATGAGATGTGTAGTTACCAATCGTTCCTAAGTTGATAAAAAAATGATACAACAGTTTGTCATTATTCTCACCATCCAAGTCCAAAACAAGACTAGTAGGAGGGCAACGCCGTGTCTGTTTAGGTAAAAGCATCGGCCGAAAAGTTGGAACAACTGCTGACAAGTCAGGTAAGTTCTTGATAAAGAAGTAAGGATCAAAGTCATCAACTTCCTCATTCTCGTCATCATCTGTGTATAAATCAGTTGACATGGGCTCCTGACCATGCTCATCCACACATTCCAACTTGGAATTTCTCATGGCAAGATATATGGCTGAGACTTCAGAAGAGATGATGGCTGGCTCCACAACTGCATTACAATGAGGATACACATTAATTGTGCCACATACCACATAGTGTTGTGCCTTCTATTTTGCTCATGCATTTTTGTTTCATTTCATTTGTATTACCAGGATATGTTATATTTACTGAAGAAAATGAGTTCTCACAGTAACTCCTTTCGCCTCTAACAATGGATTCGGAAGTCTCTTGAACAACATGACCATTCAGCACATCAACCCTTGAGTACATTATTTCACAATCTTGATGAAAATTGTGGTCTTCATTTCTAAAGAAGTTAACAAAATCAACTAGGAAAAAGAGAACTGTAAGGTCACAACATTCCTAAGAAACCCACAAAACTTTTTTATGAGATCTTTCTAACCATTAATAGAGAAGGAAAGAGAAACAATTACAAAATCATTGACGTGAAATACATATATAAAATATAAAAATGTTTGTTCATCTACCTCCATTATCAGATTCAACTTCGGCATGTTTAGATATTTGAAAGGCAGGAGAAAATATTGTTTCCGCTGTGCAATCAGCAGTTCCCTCTATACAATCCTGCAGTATGATATGATATGTACAATTTGAGACATTTCTAAATACTGAATGCTCAGGCAATGTTCTGTTTCTTTTCTTTCCTTTTTTTTTTTTTTTTTGGGGGGGGGGGGGGGGGGGGGGGGGAGGAAGAGGTAATAGGGTGGGAGCATAACACATAAAATGCCTTACACGACTTTATAAGCAAACTTAAATGAGCCAGCCATGGCATAGCTAGTTAATTACCTTAATCTCTATGCAATCATCACTCATAGCATCATGCCCCAAACAAGTGTCAGCAGTCTCATCACGCATTGAATCATAATTCAAATCCGAATTGGTTGCAGTAACAGCACCCCCGTTCTTTTTATGAGTGCCACCTGAAAGTTGCGGTAGGAAGATGACGTTTTAGAAACAGTAATTGGACATGTTCTACATAAGAATATAATCATAAAGATAAAATCTTGACGACAAACAAAACGAAGAGCAAAAGTTTCAAAATTGCCAATATTGATAACAGTATACTACCACCCTATACCAAAAGAAATTTGTCCAGGGGATGTCGACACTCAACACTTAGAAGTAAACGTGTACTAATATATTCCACGCAAGCACGAGGAACATTTCCCGAGGTTATTGTGCAACAAGTAAGAAGGTAACCTACCGATTCTCTGCTTCCTTGCTGAAGATGTAATTAGGTCTGCAACTTTCTTTTCCACAACTTGCACACTTTCATACGCTTTCCTCTGAGCTCTTGTGACCTTGGGGCTAGCATGCTCTCGCACAGCAGTTCTTCCAGAACTTCTTTTCTTCGTTTGCATTTTGACTTGAATTAAACAACTTAGCTTTGAGAAGCTGCAGGTGTGCCTACTTGACTTCAGAAGAAAGGATTCAAATTTCAGAAATCAGTTAAGCATCCTACATGCATAATAACATCCAATTTAAGAATCAATCATTCCATACGGGCGAATCAACTATTTCTAATTCAAACAAATCAAGATTTCAAAACTTGGGGTAAATGAAAAATGCAGCCTTTCTAAGTTTTGTACATTTAGTTGCAGCAATTGGTTCGGGAAAAATTCACCACGAACCGAAAAATCAATCAGTAGCTAGAGTACCCCCAAAACTAAGCTGAATTAGTAGAAAATTATGCAATTAATAACAGTTCGAAGTAAAGATTAAACCCTAGAAACCCATTAACCAATATCACTGACTGAAGCCCAAAACATACCTAAATCAAATCAATTATCTCACTCCATTCATTTCTCACGAGCAAAATAACACAAATTTCCCCACAAACCCAACATGCAAAACATCAAAACCAAACAAACCCTAAAAATTCAGCTAAAAAAAATGCACCTCACAAAAACCAGAGCTACAAACTCCAGCTAAGCCAAAAACCAAATATTCTCACTCCACCATTTGTACCTGAGCTAAAATCAAACCGGAATACAAGACGCCGGAAGCTGCCGCCGCTATTCCTGTAACCAAACAGTAAACAAACAGCGAATCAGCAGAGAGAACGATCGCCGTCAGTGAAGCTTGAGCATTTGCGAAAACCCTAATTTTGCTCTGCTCGTTGAAAAGCAGGGGGTTTTGGATTTGGAAGGGTTTTCCCTCCAAGGGAAAAGAGAGGGAAAAGTCGGAAGGGATCGAATTTTTTATTTTGTCTGAACAGAGGGATGTGATGATAAATAAATTTCACCGAAATTTTCTCTGAATATTTTTGAAATGTTTTGAAAAATTTTGATCGGTTGAGCAATTTCTTATGGAGGTGTACAGAGGAAGGTTTTGTACTCGCTGGTGTGGGTGTGGAGCGTACTCGCTTTTGGATGATTGACGCGTGGTGGGTTTTTCAGTTTCGACGGTGCAGATGGAGGTTGTTGGTTCGTTTTGGAATGTAACGAGGGATGTGAAGGTGGGAGAGATTGTTTTTTTCCTTTTCTTGCTGAAATTTCGATAAGGGTGACATATTGTTGCTAGGTATTTGTCTTAATTTCATTTACAAAGGTACGTCAATTTCCGGAATTTCTAAACTTTACCCTTGACTTTTGGATATTCCACCATGGCCCTGTATTTCTATGATCTTTCAATTGAAATTTGGACACTATCTAACATCATTTAAAATTGTAACTCGGTTGCTTAAAAACATTTATTTTCATTTGAGATCTTATATTCGTTTTCCCCTACTTTGCACTTTGATAACCAAACAAAATATAGTATCGTTAGACCAACTATTCATGAACAGTAAAAGGATAAGCTAACAATCTATAAACTCATACCTGAATCATTGATTTAAAATATTATTTTTAGTGCACTTAATGAAGGAAATGATACAAAACATGATAATCAGGCAAAACGTGAGAGACGAAATCAAACCATAAGGACCAGAACCAGATGAAGAAGTCTAGGTAGGCATCAAACTTTAAAGTATACAAGCAAAAGTGTCCGCGCAATGTTGCGGGTTTACAATTCTATATATACACATGCTTACAGCTATGTTTCCAACTTTATTTACATATATGTCCAATAATATTTACAATCCTCTTTACGGGTTTACAACTTTATTTACACATTTTTACAACTATGTTTATACATATATGTACAACATATTTACAATCCTATTTACATATATATACTAATTAGTAGAGAGCTTACCTCTACAGTTGTTGCCGATTTGAACAAATCAAGCTTCTGTAGTAGCCTTTCAGATCACAAAGCTGAGAGATTTAAGCGAGTTGGTGAGAGTAGAGTGAGAAAGAAGCTAAGAAATTGAGTCGGTGAAGACACACGTGTCACCATCTTGTTCTCCATTTGACAGCAAATTGGTAAAGTTGAAACAACAACAAAGAAGCGAGTGAATCGCATTATAGAATGAAAAGTGTTTCAGTCTATTTTCTCTTTTAGTATATATATAATATAATTTGTTATATTCATATCACATGATATTAGACTTAGACGGTTAAACCATCAATATTGGTTTGATTTTGTTGGATAACCCACGTTCTAATTGCGATAAGGACGAATTAATTGTTAATAAATGAATTAATAAGAGTTAAATATTCACAATGAACACTATAGTACATACATACATCCATAAAGTAAGAATGTTATGGAAAGAGTGAGGATCTTCGCCGAGATCCTCTTTGTGAAGATTTTGGAGATTCTCAAATCGTGCATCATATATTATACGGTCAGAAATCATTGTAAATTTGTTTATTTCAAATTGAATATAAACAGTACCTGACAAAAACTGATCGCACAATGTACGATAAACAGATGTAATTGAAGGATTCGGCGAGGATCCTCTCTCTTATAAAAACTTAAGTCTAATATCGTACAAAACAGAAATTTAGTCTACTCCAACACCTAAATCACTCGTAGTACAAGGAAAATAAATTGGAGTTGGCTTCGCTGCCCTCGCATTTCCCATACACTCCCATCCCCTTCTATTTGTGCGGTCACAGTTAAGTCACATCAATATTTTATATTACTGTTGTTTTTTGTCTTATTATCTTTATAAAAAAAATCAATATAAAACGTTGACGTGGCTTAACCGTGACCGCACAAAATAGGAGAGGATGAGAGTGTATGAGAAGTGAGAGGGCGGAGAAGTCAGCTCCCAATAAATTAGCCATCTTGTAGTTAAATTCCTAACTCCACCATTGACTCAAACTTAACCAAACACAACCATTTAACAATTATTAATTTAGTCGTAGTTTATAACATTATAAAAGGTTATCAATGATAATAGGCATCTGTATCAAAAATAAAGGATAATCATTATAAAAAAATTTCACTTTCAATTTGGGTCAGTTATGTATGAGAGTAAACTCCATATTATAATAAGTTATGCTTTTTCTAGATCCCATATTAAAGGAACTCACATCCATATGGCAAAAATTGTCAATAAATACAAAAATATGTAATGTCACAAACAAAGATGAACTAAAAGATGGGAACTATGATTTGCATTCCAAAAATCTCATTATGCACTCCTTGCAAGTGTATTTCTCTTTCTAAATATATAAAGTTTGGAGTTAAAATAAGGATTTGAGGGTGCTAATAACAATTCTCCTAATATATATATATATATATATATAATTGTTTGAGATTGTTTTATTTTTAAGAGTTGATACCATATCTTCGAGCTTATAAGTACGTAATACCTCGTCAACATGTACATCATCTTGGTGAAGCTATAACGTTTCTAGCTTCTCAAGCATGTTTACATAGAAGTACTAAAGAGAGCACTACATGTATACATGCATCAAATTTTGAAGATCAGGTGTCATACCACTATTAAGCAATAACTTTCCTAAAGTTACAAATGACTTGTTTAAAAGTCTTTTTAAATGACTGAAAGCAGTTTTACAGAAAGTAGTTTGAAACCAATCCCTACCACAAAATTGAAGTCAATTCTGAAAAAGCACGTTAAGTGCTTATTGCAAGAAGCATATAACTGAGGTTTCTTGCATGAAGCACATAACCGAGACTTCTTGCAGCAAACACTTCAAGTGCTTTTGGAATCCAAAAATATGTTATCTAACAACGCTTTTAGTCATTTAAAAGTACTTTCCAAACGAGCACAAAATTTATTTGGTCCCAATATTATTAACTGTATAGAGGTTTAGAGTATATACATATCAATTGCGAACAACTGAGCACAGATTGTATGTTTATGACCAATTGGCCAAAGGGAGAAGAAAGAATAATAAGTAAAGGTTTTAATACAATTAAGCCGTATTTATTTTGGGCGACTTGTTGAGAATTCAAAAGTTGGAGGACTGAACAATTGTGTTTTATAAAGTGCTTCGTTGAGAGAATCTTTTCGAAATTTTGAAAGTTGAACCTCATCTGCGAGGGCCACGGAAGCAGCCTCCACCTACCCTCAAATTAAATCGGTGTGTTTCCACGTGTTAACCACGACATGCAATGAAGGGCCCATCAAACGGTGACCCACTTTCATATTTGGGCTCTAGTTTAGAGTTAAGGCCCAAATCGGATTTAGTCACAATTTTTTTTCCTATTAATTTTGTGAACATGATCATGAAAGTTCTAAATAAAATGTTGACTTTTGGTTTATTTTAAGACTTGGCTAAAATACTTATATTCATTTCATATAATTAATATCTTAACGGTTTGATATGACCTCTTAATTTATATAAATTCACATGAATTATATAATGTAAACATTGTGTTCTCCCAATCGGGAAACCCACTTGTCCACCCCCACTTCCCCAACACTTACGATTAATATATATTAGCCATACGAAATCGTAATAGGAACCGTTCATTTTTTTTATCATTGTCTAAAGATCATATATGTGAAAAGAAACTGTTATTGATGCTCCAAAAATCTCATTTTACACTCCCCACAAGTGTATTTTTCTTTCTAAGTATAGAAACTTTGAAGTGCAAAATAAGAATTTTGGAGTGCCAATAACAATTTCTTATGTGAAAAAATCATTCAATTTGGAGATCTTATAACCATTCACATGCATCAAACAAATGAACAGTTTGTCATGATAATGCTACTTACTACCAAAATTGTCGATTGGTTTGACAACGAATGAATAAAAAATCTCTAAATATTTATCCAAGTCGGCCTATCAAATTAGTTAACACACTAGGACCACCATATTACAGTGTTAGGTAGTATTTTGGGGACTGTAAAATGCACTCTCCTAAGATATAATAAAGTATTATTTGTTATTTTGCATGCAGATATTGATGAACTTTTTCTTCAATTATTGTTGTCTTTCTGTTCTGTTAATGCTTGAAAAACAACCCCACGTACGCACTAAAATGCTACAATACAATTGCAAGTAAGTGATCATTAGGTACTCCTAATCCTTGGTTAATTACAACTTAACAAAAGCCTTGTCGTAATTAATGAATATTCATGACTGTAATCTGTTCGACACAAATTATTAATTAGTTCCTTCTATGGAACGAACCAATATACTGATACAGCCAAGCAAGTATATATATATATATATATATATATTTATTAAGAGTATAAGCCACTTGCTCCTTTACACTCAAACTTTACTGGTGTAATGCGCGCACGCATGGATGATTGCCTTAGATATACATATCCTTAATTAGTTAGTTAATTCCTTACACATGAGCAGTGGAAATCAACTTGACGAATATAACTATGCTGAGTAAACTTCTGAAGCACGTGACAGATCTAGGAAATATATTTAGGGAATCAGTAAGAATAGTGCTTGTGGTGCGTAAATTTTTTTGGACAAATTAACATGTAAATTGGCATTTTATTGAGTCTTAGTAGGCCTGAGGTTGTTTTCCAAGTCATGCACACTTGTTGGTAGATGCGGGCCAACAATTTACGAGTGAGTATATCGATTGATGTCAATAGTTTTGAGCGAAAATGCCGACATATACTAACGTATGCCGAGTGAGCCTCCGACAGATGACCATAGTAATGCATACAAAGGCATGAAAGTAACAACTACCCAACCTAGTGTCCATAGATGTAATTCATGGAGCAGTTGAAAGGCATCTTTCAAGATCATCTTAGATTTTTAAAGGGTAGCACCCAACTCTTTCACAGATAATTTCTGAGCTTGAAAAGATCAGCTGATCACCTACCTTGCCCCAAAGTGGATATGCCCCTACTTATGAGTTCAATAGTCTTGTATAGTTTATTTACATTTATTGATGGATCAATAAGAGAGTATTTAAAGTATGGTTGTGGCATAGGGCAAGTTACTCGCATGGGGTG